TCCATAATATGTAGCATGATGCTTCAACTGGGTTAAACATATGAATTTATTTTTTTATTTTATTTTTTGGTGGTACCAGGGATTGAACTCAGGACCTTGCACTTAACAAGCAAGCACGGATTCCACTGAGGTATCTCCCCGGCCTAAACATATTTATGTCCTCAATCATTTATTATTTCTTTGTGGTGAAAGCACTTAAAACTCTATGCTTTTGGGAACACAGAGTACTGTGCAAATTGTTATCTATGGCCACAACACTCTGTATGCCAAATCACAGTTTTATTTTGCACAAAAAAAATTGCAATTTGCCATGGTACTTTGCTTTAATCCATTCTTCACCCTGGGCTCAGCAGAACAGAACAGGCAGAAGACAACACACATGTAAAAAAAGAAAGCACCTCAAAACTACCCCAAATGTCCAAACAAAAATCATAATTTGCAAAGCTCAAAACTCTCAATGATCATTGGGATACTGTCAGAGTAAAAATGAAGTATTCATAGAATAAACAAGTACAGTATCTGAAGAAGCTCCAAGATCTGAAAAAAACTGACTACTTTTTAGTGGAGAGTCTACAATTTAAGTTACCTGGTTTTCCATACCTCAAAATCCTCACCTTCCCTGAAAAGCCCCAACGAGGTCCTGGGAGTGTGACACAAGGAAAAAAAACACTTCCTATCCCTTGCATGTGATCCTCAGACCACCCAAAAAATCACCTGCTCACTTAGGATTCATGCTAGCCAATGCATCTTAAAGACTTAAAATTGCTAAGCTTCGCCCCATCTGCAAACACAAAGAAAGTCCAACAAATCATGCTATTGCTATACTTGCTCTGATTGTGGTGCTACTACTCTCTGTTGGTCCCTAGATGTGGTTAATTGTCTCCTGCTTAACATGCCTGAGAAGGACATTATTAGAGCTACATGTGACAGGTACCGTTGCCTCCTTGACATGGGTCAGCAGAGCCACTGCTTTTCTATCAGTTGGTCCTTATTTGCATCCTCCAGAGGTAGGTTAATTTGGAACTGAGCATCAGCCCCAATCTAACTATAAAGGGACCACCCTACAGTATATTAAAAGGTTCACATCAATATATGCAATTTAAATGCACATGCATATAATTAACTAGACACATTACCAGCATGAGCTGCTAATTTGGAAAGAGATACAAAAGACTGGAATGTGCATAGAGAAAAAAAAACTGTAAAATTAAAATGACTACATAATGAAAACTGCTTCATGCTGTGTCTCCTATTTCCATGTAAACTTAATATAACTGTAAATATATTTTAATGAACAGTAGAAAGAGGCAATTACAAAGAGCAACAGAGGGCAGCCCAACAGTGAAACATCATCAGAATAGCTCTTTGCCTTCATATTAAAAGTGCTGCCTGAAGACAGAGGATGAATTACAATTTCATAATTTCAGGGAAAAAATGTTTTCTGTATTAAAGACACATACCTACTTGCCAGCTCGCTGGCAGAAAAAAAGTAAAAAGCAAAAGAAACAGAACCCTCAAGTGAAATAGGGGGAATCCGAACTAACAGAAAAGAGAAAATCCCAGCTTGACATTTTGGTGTTAAAATACTTTCTTAGTTTTTTCGACATTTGTTAAAATGGCTTGGTATTCCTCAAAGGCTGTCCCCAAGTGGGAATGAGTTCTTGATAGTCTCACATATCCAAAATCATTATAGGTGTGCTATCCCAAAATATATGTGAAGATTTGTGAGTCTTCATTTAAATGCTACCTGTATCTTGGAACAAGCAAAGAATAGAGTTGCAGCCATAAAATGAATGTGACAAATTCCATGACTCTTCTGAAAAAGAATGTAAGACTTCTGCCATTGATGAGCCTCTGTTATCAGTACATAACTCAGGTGGCAGGAAAGGAAGCTGAATTGTCGAAAAACATCTGCTGAGTATTTGCAGGGTCGATTCTGTGAGTCACTGGGGATGGAGGATGACGGGCGTTTCAGTGAAGCGCTCCGGAAGCTCAGTACATACAATATTCCATGAACTGTAATTCTTCAGAGAATGGCATGGATTTTGTCCAGTATTGGAGGATAAATGCTCCACATGATATTTAAATGGAGGCAAGGCTGGACTGTAAAGCCAGAGGCACTAGAGCAGTTTACTTAACCCTTGTGTTCTAGCTTACATGTTGAACCACCCTACATTTACTTTTGGGAGTTGAATGAAGAAATCGGTTAAAAGAAGGTGAGTAGGCGCTGCTGAAAGCCGTCTAAAGTGTCTGCTTAGGCAAGCTTAGGCAAAGTGCAGGGACCATGGTTTGGTCCCTGTCACCATATGCCACACCAACCCTGCCCCCAGGGCGGGCTTAGCCAGCCACACACAAAAAAGTGAATAATAGCATTAATTATTTTCCTTGTTTTAAGGATTCAAATCCATTATTACAAATTATAAGTTATAAAATTTATAAATAGGAAGGTCACTAGACAAATATTTTAAATTCCACTTATAATGGGTGTAGAGTTACTAAGGATCCTAATAACTCAATGCAACTGACTGGCAAAACCCAGAGGGCCTCTCGCTTGGGGTGAGCAAACTACTGTACACTCCTTAAAGAAATAGCTGTAATAATTTTAAAACTGACTCAGCATTTGTATGCATTATATATTCGCAACACTACAGAATTTTCAAGCACAGAGAGACTTACGAATGACCTAGTATCAATATTTCACTAAAATGCAGGCACTATCTCATCGGAGTTAAATGGTCTATCCAGGAAAAATACCCAGTTAGTTCACTGTTTTCATTTTTCTATGTTGCCTTTTGAGTAATGAATTTATAAAAGTACTGTTTATATACAAATTACTTCACAATTTCTATTTTCATTTTCATACTTATTGTTTTTTATTTTTTTTTCTCAACTCAGGAGTATTTTGGTCAACATATTTTATAGATGTAATTTTAAAATAGTATATGTAAGGATACTAATGTGTGTTTCCTTGGGTATTTTGTGAACAAGAGAACAGTAAAGTAGATGTCATTCATATAATATAATTTTTCTTAGTATTTAGATTCATAATAGCATTTAAGTGCTATTACATTTTCTCACTCATTGCCTGCAACTGAAGTGAAGCTAAAGCAAATTTAAAAAGCTTCCATCCCTTCTATTTTTCATACGTCCAATCCAAAGGTAAATATTGTTAGTTTCAAAAGAAATACTTTTAGAGCATAATAACAAAAAAGTGTGATTTTCTGAATTAAGATTCACAAGAGCCTGCCACAGAATAATCTTTTAATCCTAGCAGTCGATTTATGAAAATTTACTGAAGAGCAAAATCTAGAAAGCTGATACTTGAGAGTATTACCTCTGATGTACTGGCTCTACTTTTATAGAAGCCCAGTCATGTGAATTTGGTTCCTGTATAATATGCCCCATTCATCAAATAACTTAAACACATTAACAAATGCTTTGATGGCACTTGGTCCACGGAGATTTCCACTAATTGCCCTGTGCTTTTAACAGTGCCAGATACACAGTACAATTGTTTATTATAAAAATGGCTGCTGCTTGCCTTCCATCTGACTAATGACCATTAGGATGCACACAGAAAGGCCTATCGCTCTACATGATTATGCAGACATGGCACCAAAACAGGTCCCTTGTCAGAGCAAAGGAAAGCACTTTAGTCATAGTGGAGAATAAAATATGTAACAATGCTTCTTAGTATCAGTGGAAAAATAAAGTTTAAAATGCATAGCTATTTTCAGAGTTTATGTATCTACAAGAATTCCAAAGAACAAAATGAAAGGGAAGATATTAAGCCATAATTATGGTGTAAGCTTCTAAGGTTAGAAAACATATTTATTCTGGGGGCTGGGGAAGATAGTTCAGTGGTCTAAGCACCTGCCTAGCAAGTGCAAGGACCATGGTTCAATCCTTGGTACCCCATGCCGTGCTGGTCCCGGAACCACAGGACGAGCATGCTGGCCACTGTAACCAGGAGTGGTGGCACATGCCTATAGTCCCAGTGCTGGGGAGGCTGAGACAGGAGGATCACTACTCAGTAGTGAATCCAAGCTGTGCAGTGAGACCCTGTACCAAACAGATCAATAAAAGATTAAAAAAGAAAACATATTTATTTTAGAACCTCCCACAGCATCTACTACCATTCTGGCCTATGAGAGGCACTTAACAGAGGTTTACTAATTGCTCATGACATGATATGAATACTCACCAGGACTACTAGAAAAGAAGGGGATCAAAGAGAGAAGGAAAGTAGAAGGGAGGTTGGGGATGAAAATGAGCAGAGTGTGTCCCGTGTGTATATGCACGCACCCAAACAAAGCCCACTGCTCTGCGGGGCATGTGCACAGAGACAAGACTTACCGGAATGATTAAAATAACTGCGGAAGCTGCGACAGTTACTTGAAAAGCTGAGGGGCGACACAGTGAAATGTGGAAATAACTCTGCATTTGAAATTGGACATTTGGGTTCAATTCTGCTCTGAATCAACCAGTTGTGTTACTCTTAGCAAGTCCCTAAATCTCTCTGAACTCCAGACTCCTTGCCTGTTAAGCAGGGATAATTACAGCTGCTTTGCAGAGGCAGAGACCACAGGATCAAATGAAAGGGTTTAGCAGATCACCTGGCGGAGTCTGAGTCAAGAGAATGCGATGAACAGAACCACTGCCCTCCCTGCACAGTCATGAACCTTAAAAGAGTCAAGAACCTTAAAAGAACCAAGAGCAGAGTATTAGTAATCCAGCTTATGAGGCTTTCATTACTCGTCTGCACCGAGTCACACTATGTGTGACACAGATATTAAGTCAGCGATCAATACTGACACATGCCCCTTGGCAGACGAAACTGGGATCAGCAACGACAACACGGGCTGCCACTGGACAGTCAGTGTCTTCGGGGGAACAAGAGCACACCTGTTTACTAATTTTACTTGCAGAAATATACTTGGCACTCTTCAGCACCACCTGCACTTCAGGACCTTTGGGCCCCTTGAGCCCATCTTGCTTACCAGTAACTTCCGGTGGATGAAGGCATATTGCACCCAAACAGTAACATGTGATGGACGGTATCCATGCTGGCTCGGGGTTTGAAGTCGACTGTCGGGAGAAAATGATACGAGAACATGAGTACAAGTTACACATCCGTGCATAACTGTCACAATGGGCTGTATATGTGAACACTATAAATTCCTGAAGAACAAGCAGCTATTCCCAAGTGGATATCCAGGTCAAAGCATGTTTTAGTCTTTTCTAAAGTGAAAAGTGGAAAAATGGAAAAACAAAAATAAAGTGAAAAGTAGGTGTAAAAGAAAATACCTGGTAAATCTAAGCGACTAGTTTGAATATAACATCATGCAATATAGTAAGCATTGTTGAATTCCTACTCCTTTGTTTAATGAAATTTTATATCGTTTCTAATGCTGTTTTTTTCTATGACCATTTTGTATTCTTTAAAAAAAAAATTCGCAGTGTTCCCTCTCCTTATTTTCACTGATTCTAACGTCCCTCCAAAAACTTAAGGTTTAATTAATTAATTTTGTGGCCCGCTCAGCCCACCTGGTGCCAGGAATCAAACCACAGTCTCTGCATTTGCCTAAGTTTGCCTAAGCAGTGCTTTAGACCACTAAGCTATCTCACCACCCTGAAGGTCTAATTTAAATACAAAGTAGGACAAGGTGAAAACAAATACCTCACCACCTTTGCCACATCCTGAAGCAAAAGCATATCTGAGCATTTATATACTAGATCAAAATACAGTTCATTACAAGATGTAAAGAAAACTACTTATGGCAAGAAAAAGTCACAGCAAGATGTAAATCTAAAGCAAAGAAGGGATGCCTTAGAATAATGCAGCGTGTGAAGGATTCTATCAAAAAGCCTACTGCTGGAGGTAGGAAGGAGCAGAGGGGGAAGGGGGAAGATTAGTCTAATGCGTTCACTTTTTGAGTTTGTTCCTTTCTTACCTACTACAGGAATGATATTAGGACCCACCTTGTGTGCGCAAGAGTAAGGTCCACTAGGCACGAGACATGCATAGGATTGCGTGGGAGGTTCCAACAAAAGACAAAACAGGAAATGAAACTGCATCTTCAAATAATTTCCTCCTTTCTATTTCTCCCATCAGACACCACAGAAATAATGGCTCCAAGGGGAAGAGATACAGGCATAATAATGAAATCCACTTTAAGTGTGCATTTCTCACAGGCAGAATAAACAAAGGAGCCTTGGGACGGTGACAAATGGCTTGATACACAGGTTTATGAGAATGCAAGGAAATACTTCTGATAAGACTAAAAGTGCCACCAACTCTTCTGACTCACTACAAAGATGAAGAATGCTTCAGCCCCAGGGGCTTTATACTGACTAGACTGCCTGATATAAAAGACTGGGAGAAAATTTATAGGAACATCCTGGGAACTAAATACAGTACCTTGGTAGGGCTAAAACTCTACAAAGAGCAAGACTCGCTAATTAAAGAAAATATGGTGATCCTGAAAGTACATAGCAATAGAGGATTTCTCACAGGACAATGCCATTAGAAGTGAAAAACTTGAAAGTATGTGCCTGGGCAGTGTATTGAGCAGAGAGATGACTGTGTCTATTTTCTGGAGCTCTAAGCAGAATTTGTTCAACTGCATGATGTTGTTTGGAATTTATGAGTTTTTGTGGGTAACTTCACACTATAATCAGGGCCATAAAATTTTCTAACAATGTGACTTAGGAGAGAATTCCACTTAGCAGTTGGCTTTCTATTTTTCCTTTCCAAGTAGATATCAAGGTCAAATTTCCACATATCTGCCAAACTGAGGCCACAGAACGATTGTGAAGAATGTGCATAACCCAGTAGAGGAGCCAGTGATCTTGGAGGTATCCATACATGTGCTTACAACCATTCCCAAGTTACCATTGGAACGGCTGGGACACACTGATGGTCAACAATATGCACTAGAGGGACACCGGGGAGACTACAAATAATCAACCTGCTGAATACAAAAGAACTGACTCAAAAATCCAAGTCAGTCTGTCCACAATCACAACTGGCATTCTAGAAGTTTGGTCTTCTAGGATTTATATATGTATCCGAATCATAATTTTGTTTCGCCCAGTAGAATCACATGGCGTACAAGAAATGACTTATTTTGTATACTGTGCATATTTTTACACACTGTGAAACAGTTTTTCAACAATACTTTTCACCTGGGGCTAGTCATCAGGAATTTCTGTGGGGCTGGTTAAAAACAAGGTGTCCAGGGTCAGTCCTAGATCAATCCCTCTCTTCAGTAAGACACAGAGTCAGCACCTTGAGTCAATCTCCAGAAATCATTGCCAGATAAGTATGTCTTTTAAAAGTGTCCCAGGTTGATCACAGGTGATCCTGACCACAGTGCACCTTTACAGTCGATGTGAGTATATTGTAGTGGGTGGTCGTACTCAGTTCCCTAATCTTGGTTTGGCTGAAATTGCATTTTTCTTTCAAAAATTCTGGGTAATCAACAGAAAAAGTTGCTCTGAAAACAAATTTATGAAGAGTTTCTGAAGATAAAATTAGTTGGTATTTTAGAATTATTAAATGGAATTTATGGGACTCTGCATTATATCACGTAACTTTAGCTGCATGACCTAAAATCCTTTTGGGACTGAGGTCTAAAGCATGCATAGAAATGTACAGTGACAAAGGAATCTTCAGTGAGAAATGGGCCCAATATTAGTGAGGAATAGCAAATATCCTTATACTGATAACACATTTGATAGAATTGAAGAGGTGCAAGATTTAAGAAATAATAATATAAAATGAGTATCATGATTTTTAAAAAAAATTATAAAGCCCAAATCCTTAACACTAATCCCTTCAACATTTTTGTATTTGTAAACACTGCTTCAAAAACTGAACTGGAAAACAAGGAAATGAAGATAGTTATGCTATAACCTGTAATTTAAGGGTAAGATATGATCAACTTTAATGTTGGAAACCATGCAATTAGGCCAAAAGGGTAGGGTTAAATGTACACCACACAGCACTGGAATCCATTTGCCAGCATGGTGAAAACCAGCAGTGAGGGCACATTATACCACCTTCTGCTAGCTTCCCCCAAGCTACAAAGCAATTCTACAGCAAAAGAAAGACACTCTTGCTGAACATTTTATATCAGGAAGCTTACTGGTAAAACTGTCATCATTAACTCTCTTTAACACAGTTTACAGGGACTTCTTGATGCTGTTGACAGATGAGCCAAGAAATAAGACACTTCAGCAAGCCTAAATAATGAACTAAATTTAAAATGAATTTTCAATTTAAAATGAATTTTAAAATTTCCATTCAAAATTAAATTATGTATGAACAGAGGAATTTCAACACAAAGAACTTTCTAGATGACAGGCTGCTTAAAACTGAACTTTATGGTATGTTCCAGAGCTGACTAAAGAACCAGTAGCCATTATCAGTCAAGCTATGTAAGATTAAATAGCATAAGCATAATTAAGCTCTGTTTTTTGTAATGTCAGTCCTATACCAGTGTCCTTTTAACTTCCAGTAGGATCAAATCTACATCCTCCTGCTAGCATTTTAAATGTGTGTATAATGTCACACCAGCCTCCTACCTCAACACTTCCAACATGACGATTCCCTACACCCATCCATCTCTCATGAGGCAGCCTCTCTCACTAACAATACTGCTAACACTTGCGAGGCACTCATTTACTGGGTCTGGTTCCTTTTCCTTTCACTTGAGTCTGGAGCAGAGAAAATCGTAGTAACTGTCCCTGGTCATGAACTAGAAAGTGGTGAGGCTGGTACTGGACTGCATAATAGTCTGGCTCCGAGTCAGCTCTAGCACTATGTGATGCTGTCACTCATAATGTATGCCCGGAGTGTTCCTTTATGTGCTCAAACTGCTGACTCCTAGAATATCTTCCTCCATTCTCTATTTCCAAACAGGCTGTATTCCCAGTTCCTGATCGAATATTGCCTCCCTCCATCACAAAATTTTCTCAAGTAGACAAGGAGCATGCTCATCTTCTAGCATTGACCACTACTTTAAGTAACTGAATAGCTCAACTGATGACTACAGAATGAATGTCACAGTGAATGTCCCATGAAGGCACCAGCCCTGAAGGCTAACTACACAAGAAGTCTGATACATAGCTGGGGTTTCTCAGTGGGTCATTTTATGAGGTAGCACTTTTCATATCATTGCATAAAATAGTTCTTGATATCAGTAAGTTTTTAGTAATTACTAAATCTGTCTAATGGAAAAATATCCCATTCTTAGGTTTATAAGCCACAATAAAATGGGTTTTCCTCCTTTTCACCCTTTTCTGTTACCTGAGAAAGTCTGAGAGTTGGGAAGGGCTGCTATGTTGGAAACATGACTATGTGGGTGCCAAAGGATTGAAGACATTGATGAAATACTCAGGCCATGATAGGGTAGATTGCAACAGCTTCTGTTTAATGATACAACCAAGGAAATCAGATTTCTCCTACTCCTCAAAGGCCTCAAGTAAGTGTGTTATATTTGTGTCATGAGTAAAAGCTCTTTTCAAGTACTGCTTAGTTAAAAAAAAAATGGAGGGAAACCACTGAAAGATTCTCAATGGCCTTCTGGAGACAGATTGAATTCTTGTGTTGAAAAACATCCAAGAAAGGACCAGGGAAAGGACATTCAGTCAACTCTTGCACAACAGAAAGATGACTGAGTGATTGCATGGCGCTGCAGACTCGCACACATGTATCCTTTTAATTCCTGTTGTGAAAGCCACAAAACATGGATATAAGCGATGTCCCCTGCCAGACCTGGCTTGGTCTTTATGGTCACACTACCTGGTGAGCCAAAGCATGAACAAGATTAGATTGTTCTTTCAGTTTTTAAAGTAACCCAACGTCACTTGAACATGTACTTTGTTCAAGAAAGGTCACATTTGGAAATATTCAAATCTAACTATGCAATCTGTAATAGAAATTGTTCTACATTCAAAAGAGAAAACCAAGAAAAGGAAAAGCCATGAATCATTAGATTAATTTTACCTATTTTTAAACTCAGCAGCTTCTATCTCATTTGTGTAGTGCAATTTGATAGATAGGGACCTGCCCTCATTCAGTAAGGAAAAGAAACATTTATTTACTGGCCAGCCATGTGAGGGAAAGCAAGCGGATGAAGATGACAGCTGAATTTCCTGGCTGAGTAGGCGGCTGTCAGAGCCAATTCCTCTGCGTGTCTGTAAAACACCTTTTAGACAGCACCGCAGTTCAGTGGTCAAATGCAGATTTTATTGTAGCTTCACCCATTCCAATCCTATGATTTCTTATCTTAATTCAATGAGAAGAAACATTTGTACTGATAGTTTGGACAGGATATATCATGTTTACATATTGTACTATGAATAACCACTACGAAGATAACAATAGGCAATATACTAATTATTGAAACTGTCCTACTAATCGGTTTTGAAACTCATTGTTATTTCTCAATAAAATTAATAAAAATGCTCAAATTATCAAAAAAATTTAAATTTTTTTAAAAATAAATAAAATTGATGTTCCAGGAAAAACTATGATTTTGCTCAAAACTTTTCTTTATCTTCATCAGAGTATTTCCACAAATATCTACTTTGATTCACATTTATATTCTCTCTCTCTCTTTTTTTTTTTTTTTTTTGGTACTGGGAATTGAACTCAGGACCTTGCACTTGCCAGACAGGTGCTTAAGCCACTGAGCTATCTCCCTGGTCCTTTGATTCACATTTAATATTTCAACAGAGATATAGTAACACATTATCCATATTGCATGGTCATATGTAAGTATGACAGGCATGTATAAACACATTCTATGATAGTCGTTTTGGTGTTTGCGCAAAATTATGCAGTATGTTAATCAAAAATAGGATAGTCACACATAAAGCCACAATTGTAAGCTATTCAAATACAGTCCTGACATTTAACACTATCAAGAGAATTTGGCATGTTTCAATAATCAATCTGAATTATACTTTGCCATTTGCACTTTTGTTTAGTATCTTGAAAGTACAAGGACAAAGTTGTTTTAAATATTTCTTAGCAACTCATATTCTTGTTTCCCAAATTCTGCTACACTGTGACCCCCCTGAACACAATCCCACTGCCAAGACCAATGATGCCATGGAGAAAAATGTGGCCTACTGAGAAATGAAGGAGTGATTTTTTCTTTAAAAAATGCAATTATTCCTTATATTAAAATAAGAATATAACTAAAGGCAAAAGATAAACTATCTACTATTTGAAAACCGCACTAAAAATGGCCATACACAATGCTTTTTAAGTCTTCATTCAGCAGACAAGTATTGATTTTCGATCACATTGCCTGGCATACATCATGGTGGTAATCAAAAGCAGAAAATGCAGAGAAAGAAGCACAGGAGACTAAAAAAGCACTCACAAAAAGAATGAAAAAATAAAGATTTTATGTTCTTTTAATTTTTAAAAAGGTATTACGAGTCATTAAGATGACTCATTTTCAACCTGATTTTGTAATTATGGGCCTTATTTTCTCTCAGCTTAAGGTATTTTGAGATTTGAAATTTGAAGCAAGCCACCAAAACACACTAAGGTTTTGTTCTTCCTGCCTGGCAAGTGTAAAGTACTGAGTTCGGTTCCCAGTACCAAATAAATAAATAAATAAATAAATAAATAAAGTGGAAAATCCTTGGGTCTACAGCTATGACTCCTGCTTTGGGAGTTCAAAATATATGTATAACTACCCTCCCAACACACAACCTAAACAGCCACGCCCTTTTCCCTCCACTATCCTTTATATTAATGACTGGTATTTCTCTCTGGTTTTCAGCTTGCTGGTTTTATTTGGCTATAGCTGAACTTCAGGGTACAACCCCCAGGAAATAGTACCTCAAAGAGCTTGCACTAAAGATCAAGTAACTCCTTCTGAACAGCTAACAAAATCTTTAGCATTCATGCCATCCTGCCTACAATAAAGAAAGGAAGAAATACTGAAAACAGTTACTAATCTTACAAGCCCATGCAAAGAGCTCAGGAAGGCTTGGTTGACGGAAATGAAGAAATGGTTAGCATGCTGCTTCTAACGCCCTCCTCTGTGTGTCGCCTGCGAATATTTTGCTTGACTGACACTGTACATTCCCTTGTATGTTTAACTTTTAAATTATATGAGAGTAAACACATTTATATTAGGGAGCAGTAATGCACTGCAGGATAAATATTTATAGTGCTTAGAGTCACCGGCCCTAAAATCTCACACCATCATCACCCTCCAGGCACAACCCAGTCAGCATTAAGGGAGAACTGCGCTGCTGCTGTGACACAGGGCCGCCAGGTTTACACAGGTGTGCACCTGGCCTTTCTCTTCAAAACAGTAAAAACGGTAGGCATTCAGACTACCCCTGAACTTGAACGAAGAAAGTATATTAATAAAAGTCTGTTAATGAGTGAACATTTTCTCCTACCATGCCAAATGTGTGCGTATGAAACTTTACAAACCTTGCTGGGAATATTCTAATTATGAATTTATATTCTAAAGGACATTTGCATCAGTCAAGAACTACAATGAGGGCTTTAAATTCTGTTCCCATCTTGAACATTATTTAGCCGAGAACCTGGAGAGATGCTGTCCTTCTCAACTCTTTTTTTTTTTGTTTTTTTTGGCCAATTTCCAAATGCTACCTAAAACAAAAGTCAGGCAAAGTTCAGGGGTGATTTCTGTTCTTAAGGATTAAGAACTGAGACAATTCTGCTTAGAGAATGTTGTTCAGATCTTGTTTGCTGTGATTGCCACCAGAGTGTGGGTGGAAAGTGAAGGCACAATGTCTTGGCTTGGCTGGTTACGCTGTGCATTCCTGTGGCAAACGCCTCGTGAGAATTCATCCTCAGACTGCCCCAGGGCTGTGTGTACACATTCTTCAATTCACATAACAGTCATTTTAGATGGCCTCTTGGAGATTAGTTTCAAAGGACCAACGTATAACTCTCATTATCATCACGTTCCAAAATTAACAGTTTAAGCCAGAAAAATGAAACAGGAAAATAAAACCCCACAGGAGTGATTTGACAATCACACCTCTTCCCTAAACAGTTAAAAGCCTGCCATAAGGGATATTTAAATTAAAACAACCAAGACGGAAACAGATGGTGCTTTGTTTCTTTTCCTCTCTGATAGAGCGTCCTCCTCTTTCTCCCTTCCTTCCTCCTCCTCGTCTCTTGCTTTTCCTTCTCTCTGCCCTTCCCTTCCCTTCTTGTCCATCTACCTGTCTGACGCATAAGATCTTCCATTACCCAACGGTGCCTGTAGAAGCGGTTGATTTACAGCATGAACCAGCAGGTAAATAAACAGTCTGCTGAGTAGAGTGGAATGAAGTGATCAGCCCCCGACAGGAAGCCGATACCATACAGATGGGACCACACGGTACTGGTGACCACTGACATCTGCTTGCAACCCCTTACCTACTATTACTCACAGATCTCTCCAGATAGTTTGCAATCTTGTCTCTCAGGGGCTGCTTCTAGTTTGCTTCTACATTAGGCATGATAAATGCATTTTGAAAGCTGACAGCGAAAGATTAATACACTCATAACCATCAAAGCAAACCTTTCACGGGTTACGAACAGCTGCTGTTCTCCTCACTGCCCCTCCCTCCCCCTACACCACCCAGCTCATACTTACTCACGAAGGCTTCCTCATCCACTGGCAGGCGCATTGACATGCAGAAGTAGGTATCAGACTGTTGGGGAAAGAAAGGAACAAGCTGGTTAAGGACCACTAAGTCGAAAGAACAAGGATTAATGTATGGCTTCTATAACTGAAATGGAAGCATTGGCCCGGTAAAGTGAGTGTGCCCGCTGAGGTGAGCGGTTAGTGGAACGGCTGCTTAGGAAGAATACAAGTACCCTAAAAGTATTTCTAAAACTCTCATCTTACACAACATTAAATCCTACCTCTAAAACCAATCATCATGAGAGATATTTCCAGTACTGTCACAGTTAAAAGGTGAAATTTTTGGGTGCATATGTAAAAAAAAAAAAAATAGAAACATTTAATGTTATGAATTTGATTTTAAAATTGTGAGAGTCAATTTGGCCATCTTCGCTGCTTGTAAAATTAAGTAATTTCCTGAATTACTATATGAATGTCCCAAATATTAATTAGAAAATGCAATGAATTAAAGTTGGTGTTAAGTATAATACTGCATTCAGCCACTGTTCCTTACTTTGAAATGTTGATTGCAGTTCATGAAAAAAATCAGTATTAATTAAAACTTTTATTTTCCAATTATTGGTCCTTTATCCAAATGGACATTTTCCCACTACCAAATATATTAACAAAAGACAGCTTAGTAAGCCAGACACAGGGGTACATGCCTGCAGTCTCAGCTATTTGGAAGGCTAAGTCAGGAGAATTAATTGAACCAGTCAGTGGTTCAAGACCAGCTTGAGCAACACCCTAGCTCTAAACAACAACAGCAGCAACAAAAATCATGAAAAAGCAAAAGGGAAAATACAGAAAAGAAAAACAAATTTTGAGGGTCACAAATTCCAATTTAAGGAGAGCACATACCTCTGTGGGCTGGTTCCTTAACAGAAACCCACATTCAGCAAAGTATATTCCATGGTTGAGAATATCCCCAAAACATGGACAAGCAGCATTCATTTAGTAATTCATGCTTCACAGATTACTACTGTGCAGCGCTGGAGTCAACAGACTCCACAAACACAGACAGACCACCTTCTAGTTTCTCTAAATCTGCTAGCAACTGAAAACTGTGAAGGTAGTTTCAGAGTTTACTTCTTTGGGATAAAGGGAAGTTTGAATATATAGAAGACTTATTTATTTATTTAATTAATTTTATTGTGCAGAAGTAGGGATTCGACTCAGGCCCTTGCGCTTGCCAGGGAAGCGCTTATTCCACTGAGCCATCTCCCCGGCCCCTGAATACATAGATGAAACAAGGATCTTAAGTTCTGAAAACTTACAGAAACATGATTCTAAAAAAAAAAAAGGCCAGGGAGATGGCTCAGTGGAATAAGCACCTCCTTGGCAAGCGCAAGGGCTTGAGTTTAATCCCTGGTTCTGGAAAAAAAAAAAAAAAAAAAAAAAAAAAAAAGAAACATGATTTTATTAAGTTACTTTTGTAGATATCATTTTAAATATTTAAATTCAAATATTTTTCCAATAAAGAAACATGAAGAGAAATACTGAAACTTGCACAATTAGGAGGCTAAATTACACACAGCCTGAATTGTATATTAAAATCCAAGAAATACACAGGCACAATAGTGCTTAGGAATCTTGCAGGCATGACTAAGATCATTCATATTTTTCCAATCTCTGAATTACCAATGTTATAAAACAAACTGAGTTCATTATAAAATAAAAAATAATATGCTCAGGATTTCTGTTCTATTTTATCATCCTCAGTTGCCATTTAGGACTAAGAAATACTTTGTGGCTTCTATAGCTACTCCTCCTACTATTCCTGTTTTTAGACAATATGCTCTATTATATGTCAGACATGATTTTCAATGTTTTCTATCTATTATGCCATTTAATAACCAAAACAACCACCTTCACTAGACAGGTATTATTTACTCCATTTGGAAATAATAACATCTATTGAGAGCTTACTATGTGCCAACACCTTTTGGTTATTCCTCAAAACACCTCTCTATGGTGTAGGTGTTGTTAATACTCCTATTTTCAAACTAGGAAACTGAAACAGCCAAGACTAAGTGGCTGGAGAGAGGTGTACTACCAAATGACCAAACTAATCATGGCTTTTTGAGCCAGCTTCTCAATTAAGCATGGATCTTAGCCTATAAATCCTTAATTTCTAACAGCTAGAGACCATGCTCCTCCTACAGCTCCATGAGTCCTTAAGGATCCTACCTGGGAGAGTTCAATGTTACCAGGAAAATTTATTGTCTTCAAACAAAAAAAAATTAAAGACTACAATATAGTATTAGAAGTGAAAAATTGCAAGTGATACAGAATTTCACTTAACAAAGTAATATGAATTTCACAGTATTTGTTGTAATGCACAGTGTTGTCTTCCAACCAGTTATTCATGCTACCAGATATACACATGCAAAACTGAAAGAAAGAGAAAAAGAGAACTATATAAGAAATTAAGAAAAGAAAAAGGAGAACAATTAAAAAAAGAGACAAAACAAAAATCTTATACATAGGCCCTTGAACCCCCTATTCAAGAAGCTACTTCAGAAAACATAAGCAGTCCTTTCTCTGTCCCTTTGAGTTATAAGCCATCTACTACACAAACTGCCCTCTTGCTTTCCTGAGCCTTACTTTAAACCAAACTACTGACTGCCTCCTACCCTAAAGACACAGGCATCTCTTTCTCCTCCCAACAAATGTGTTTAATGGCTCAATTACAGTAGTCAAGCTCCCCTTCATATTCCTCAGTGGGTTTATCTCAGCACACTCCAGCTCTCCAGAGATCTCCTTCCTTTTGTTCCTGGAAAGCTCAGGTAAGTCCACACTGTGTTGCCTCCCTATCGCAATGGTCACTGCTGGATCAAATCTGTCCTTACCACCCTGACTCATGTCAGGCTTCTGTCCTTACCACCCTAACTCATGTCAGGCTTATTGACCTTTTTCTTTTATTATGCTTTTAAAAAATTATTTTGAAGTGAGATAAAAAGGAATAAAAACAATGATACAGAGTTTCAAAGCATGATAATAAGAAATTAACAATGGTTAATCATTGAATAGTGTTGTCTTCCAAGTAGTTGCTCAGATTCTAAGACCCACAGTGAATCTTGGACACTAATAAGGACGGCACCTGGGACGAGGACACAGGCCATCTGACTAGTACACTACAGACCATTCAAAGCAGTGGGACAAAAAAGGATCTGAAAGCATGTTCAAAAGAAAAACTAAATGTCAAGTAACTATGAAAAAAAGGATAAAAATGTGATGAAATGCAAATAAAACCAAAATTCCCCTTAACTTCAACTCACAGTTCTTAGTTTTACTCATTTTTTTTTAGCTTGTATTATAAAAGTCTGCTAGAGTTGTTTTTGGAATAGGAAAGCGATAGGCCTAAGAGGACATATCAAATATAGCAAGTGGGTTCACTTGATGAAAGCAAAAACAACTCAGTACAACTATGATTATGTATAAAATACAGAATAAAAGAAGCTGCCACTGATACTCAGAAGTGATCAATTCTTTCTCTGACCATCATTGTTCAACATAAAATAGTAGAACAAGGTAGGAACGTCTTTGTTTTGTTAGCTTACATTCTCAGGTACTAACCTGCCTAATAATGAGAACAGGTTCAGATTTTAATTGTTCATTCTCTGAGCTGTTTAAGTCAGTTGGGAAAAAGGAGGAAGGACAAAGAGGGAGAAGGAGAAGAGATAGAGGAGGACAAAGAGGGAGAAGGAGAAGAGAAACAAGAGGTGGAGGAGGGAAATTTGTTGGAAAAACACCGCACAGAAAAATCAGAATTCTACCCAATTTTTTTGATGACCTCAAAATCTGTATTAGACACTGTATCAATGTTCTACCATGTACCTTCATACTCTTCTTGAGGATTTTACTCATGCCCTATTTTTCAACCTAAAGCATAATTCTGTTGGAAGAAGAAAATGTAAAACTTTTTTTTTCTAAAAACAAGCACATTTAAAAATACACTACGGCCGGGGAGACAGCTCAGTAGAATAACCACCTGTGTAGCAAATGCAGGGTCCTGAGTTCAATCCCCGGTACCACAAAAAAATAAAATAAAAAATAAAAAAACAAAACAAAACAGTACTTGGGCTGGTGAGATAGCTCAATAGTCTGAAGTGCCTGCTTAGGCAAGTTTAGACAAGCTTGGGCAAGCGCAGGGACTGCGATTCAATCCCTGGCACCACATGCTGTACTAGCCCCACCCCCAGGGGTGTAGCAAGTCAATAATTCACTTTTCCCTGAAAGCTCTGAAGACCCCACAGTTCAATAGGCTAGAGATTAGCAAAAGGTAATTTACTCTTCCTGCAACCATGCAAGGCACTGGAGATTTTGTTCTGGAATATTTTTCCAGAACAAGTTGAGCTCAAGATCTACATAAAGAAGACAAGCATGAGCCATTTGCACAGTTCCTCTGCCAAAGCTCAGGCTTAACGATCACTCAGAGACAACTTCTGTCTACGCCAGGCCAGCTGAATAGGGGGAAGCCCGTTGGGGGGGAGGCTGCATATAAATAAGCACGTTTTTAAAAACTGTCACTTGGTTTTGTCCTCACCAGTACTCTTTGAGTAGCCCTCAGAGGCACTGCACCTTTTTTCTTTTGCAGAAACAAAAAAGGATTCACAGAACTGTTGATCCACACACAGCCACCTGGTCCCAGTCAGGAGTAAGAGCCTTCAAGTGTGTGCTTTCAACACCATCAGACCTAATGAGCTCTTTCCCCTCCTCCTCCCCCTCCTCCTCCTCCCCTTCTTCCTCCTCCCCTCCTCCTCCTCTCCCTCCTCCCCCTCCTCTTTTTTTTGTGGTACTGGGGATTGAACTCAGGACCTTGCCCTCCTTCTTAACAGCAAGTTTTAATCTAGTTAGATTGCAATTGTGGCTCATCATTTAAACTCTTTATGCCTTTGTTTTTCTAAGAGACAAAATTCTATAAGTAAAATTAAATTTCTTCATAAGTGAATTACTTTTTAAAAGAAGACGTAATTTGTTGGAAAACAGGTTGGACAAAGGCCTCTGACAAACTCCTATGGGCTC